AACAGGGCCCTGTGGTATAACTTTGTACAAGAGAAAAAAAATATTTCATGACCTAAACTAATGAATTTATATTCCTGTGTAGCAAGGGGAAACATACTAATATTAAAAACACTTAAATCATCACTGGTCTTGGGTTTACTTCAATTTCTCCAACAACTATCAACTTTATTGTATATCAGAGACCACCATAAATTTAACAAACAAGGAAATGATGTATTTGTTATTTTAGCTGAGTTCAAAAATGTAGAAATATAATAGCACTCTGCTTAAATTATTAACTACCCTGTTTAGAGGAAGTAAGGGGATATTAAGACATGGTGAACTTGGCAGGAAATGTTTCAGTTTGACAGCTCTGTTGATTTTAAATGCTTCATGGTTTCCTTAAGGTTATTTTTTTTATTTCCTGAATATTATTCCTTTGTTCCATTCATACTCAATATAATTTTAATCTGCACCCACTGAAAGCAGTTGTTCAGATATTTTGAATAGCCCAGGAAAATACCCCCCATAGCCCCAGGCTTTGGAGCTATCACACATTAAACTAGGATATAAAACATGCTTATGAGAAAATAATTATTTTTTCTTTGGCATTGGAACTTTTATGACACCTAGGATTCCGTGAGATATCGCCGACTGTGAACAAGCAGAGGAAAATAAATACCTGAAAGAGGTGGTGACCAGGCAGATAGAGCATACAGTGAAGAACAGCCAACTCAAGATGAAGCAGGTTCAACAAGCAGAGGTTGGAAGGGCAGATGATTCTTCCTCTACTTGGCCCTGACACAGTTTGTATTAGACGGAACATGGCAACATGCCACAGCTGTTGTCAGGACAAGGACATTGATAATGAATGGATGGATATAAGCACCACAAAACAGGCATACACTTTGTTGAGACTGAGAGTTTATAAAATGAGCTCATATCTGGACTTGCTTCAGACACAGCACACATTACATAGCATTGTATTAATTCTACTGAAGAAACCAAAGACGAGATAGATTTCTATTAGGAAATACATTGCTACTGCCTAATTGACTCAAATGTAATGTTGTTAACATCAAGGTAATCAACCCTTCCTGCTTAATATTGATTGATTGTGTATCATGATGCCTTGAGAAATGTATAACAAAAAGCCTGAAGGTGTAATAAGTATGCAGTAAGAGGAACGGAGTTGGGCTGCAGGAGGAATGATGCTAGACACTAGGGTACCGAGATATTGCTATCTTAGAAATCTGTTTGTTCAGTGCAATTTATTTATGGTTCAGAAAGAATAGTTAGGGCAGATTCCATCTGACAAATCTGCTAATGCTTGCTGTATGCTGAGGGCAACGCCTTCCAGATGTTGTCCATTAAAGAAAACAGAAAGCAATCGAGTCTCTTAGACACAATGTTAACTCCTGACATTCACAGATAAAGAGCTGAGATTATTGAGGTCTCTGCCAAAAGGCCTCCCATAATCCTAAACACCATTTTTCACTTATGGTCAAATAGTAGGTATCCTGGGAGCGAGCAATTTATGACCGAAAATGTCTTACGCTTAACTGTGTTCTTTGCCCTTTTGTGTACTTAAAAGCCAATGCTACACCCTTAAATGGAGAGAATGTATTTTTTCTGAGCTCTGCATTCTGAACTCCCAAATTTCATTGAATGAAGCTGAGTATTATGGGTCAATACTGTAAAGACACAGCAGCACAACTCTATTTAAACTGTTACAGATTTTAATTATAATTCTAACTACAGTACATCTGATAACAAGACATACTCTTCAATTAGACAAAATATTTATCTCTGTCCCCTACAAATAACAGCCTGTGTAAACTCAATAATAAGCACCACCACAGAGCCTTAGAAATGCCTTTGGTAAAGAAAAATAACCAGAAATGTTAAGGCAAAGAATTTGATAATTTTGAAATTTTATCCAGTACAGAAACACTGGGGTTAATGCAGGCAGGATGTCATACATTTCACTAGCTGAAAAATAGCTAAGGAAAAAAAGAAACTCTAACATGAACACTTGTACTTTTTATTCTTACAGCTTGTTATAATGATCGTAAACATCTATAATGCTACCTGGCAGAGCCTGGCTGCGATTCAAATTGCTTAAATGTACAGAGCAGGCTTTGAATGCTGTGGATTGCAAAACAGAAAAATGTGAAGAATCTCAGATAGAAACCAGGCTTCTATTCTTAGCTATAAAAGATGTCAGTTCAGAACTATCAGATAGTAGTAAGAGGAAAGTAGAGATGGAAGATTTCAGAAAAATAACACGTTTTATGATTGCAGGTCAAGGAAATTAAAAATCAATTCATCTGTAGAAGTAAATTAAGTCATGCAGTCCTCAGGGAGGGAAATCCGAATGTAAAATGGCTTTTAAAATATGATTTGTGAAGCACTGACACATATAATAACCAATTTAATATGCTGCTGGTGAGGCTCTGAACAGAAAGAAAAGTATTTGGGGGCACTGGAGCTCTGGACATAAAGAAAGATAATGTGCATTGATCAGTTAAGAAATTTAAACACGGCTTTTAAGTTAATTTTGGTGCATGTAACCCACTGCAAAAAACACAGTGGTAAGATAGCTTGTGTGGATTTCACTGCATCTCAGTAAAAGGCAGTACCATTTATCTGCATGAATCATAAAAGCCATCAGTCATGAACAAGAATGCCTCCATCTGCCAACGTACTGTAGATGCTAAAGCTAAGGAGGGCTGCAAGATTTGGTCGTGAGTTTAGCAAATTTGTTAAATGATAACTGAGCTCAGGAGATCGTTTTTCACAATTACTGTAGATATGTGTACTCACCTGAATCTCTGGTGACATATACACTAGTGTGTTACATTTAGGAAGAGGTGTGGCGGTTGTGGAGGCGGGAGGGGGGCTTAATGGCAACATGAAACGTAAGAAACAAAAGACTTAAATAAAACTAACACAGTCAATTAGAGTGACAGATAGTAAAGAGGTGAGTGCCAACAGAACAATCTCCTGCTTACTCATTTTTAAAATTTTAATATCTCCAGGTGACAGAAGGAGTTTCAGAACGATGATTCATTAGTGTGTTTTAGAGTTTGCCAGTCTTTGTGGTACAAGTGTACAGGGTCAATGTTTCAATCTGAGTTATGCATTAACTGCTAAATAATAATTATGAACTCACTCCTCATGTTTTATTCATGTTGAATGCTCAAGGTAAAAAAGAAAGATAAATTGCTGTAATCAATACCATTATACCATCAGCGAGCACCACGCGCTGTTGTAGTTTGCAGTTTTTCTTTTTCTTAAATTCAATATAATTAATTGCAGTGAGTGCTGAAAGAAACATATGAGATATTTCTTTGAGAATCTATTCGATTGATCCTGGGCACAAATTGTTCTGAAGTGCAAATGAGTTTGAAGGAACAAATGATGCATCACTTATATCTTCTAATGCATCACTTTCTGTTAAAAATCCAGACAGTGGACTGTGAAAAACCAACACTTGGTTTAAAAGGAGAGGAAATGAGTGCACCGTCATTAGTGAGCAGAAAATGCCAGCTAGTGTTACAATTCTCATTAGCAAGAACCACATCTAAATAGGGAATCCATAGCTTAAGTGTTTGACCTCCCAGATGTCTTCTTAAATGCATAAGAGTTGTTTAGATCAATAAATAAAGCCTACCAGAAGAAATACGAAGCCTTAATTCATCATTATTCCTTTGAGATTCTGGTACTGTATGCCCCTAGTTGCAGCCTGGCTCTTTAAAATGCTTCTCCTGCAGTTTTCCATCCTTCCAATGACAGACTCAACTTCTGAACAAAGGAGTACACGCAATTAGTGCAGCTTTAGAAGGAAAATAATTTTCATTTCAGTTTTCAGTGTTGAGATGCACATATAGTACCTGTTTACCCAGTAACCTTTGAGCTGCCCCTCTTCTTTAAAGAGAAGAGATGTTGTAGCTTTTATCATCTACTGTGGCACTGAGACATCATTATTATCACCTACCATAAGAGTGGAAAAGACAATGGTGTTTTTTTTTGCATTTGTGTTATCTGTACAATGCACAGAGAGGTAGTGAGAGGGTCGTTATGAGTCTCTGTCATGTGTGCAAAGTTCTTATGTTAGACTGCCCATAAGTCAAGTAGCATTTGTTTGAAATAGATTCATATTAGCAATATTAGCTATTATTTCCTAGCTATTATGAAAAAAGTAATTTGTTATGGAAAGGACCTACTAAGTGGCCTACTCAGAGAACAGGTTTAGACCTATTATCCAGATAATTCTCATTAACTGACTGTGACAAGGATGCTTCAAACATCAGCACACAAGTTACAGACTGACATTGGAATAAGGCAGACATTAGTTGGCTAGGTTTTGGTAAAACACCAGCTGCAGTGTCTGGTGTCTACTGGTGTGGAGTGACATTATTCTCCTTAACTGGGAGACATACACTTCTCCAATCAGTATGTACTCTCCTGTAAGGTACTGTGGAGCTTGTTAAAAGATGAATTGCTCTAAAATGAGGATGTACTTGAAGAGCATGTCTGTAGATGTTCATTCTCTGTGTGTTAAAGTAGCTTACATTCCTATAACTACTTCCATTACTGCTGCTGCTATTTCTAATAATGCTATGGTTAAATAATAATAAAAACTCTACAGTTGTTAAATGTGTAGGACATATTAACTCATCCTCCTGGGCAGTATTTAGAACTGCAGGTTATATCATTATGAGTTTTTAGACAAAGGCACATTTGAGCCCATTAAGTTTTTGAAGAACAGTTATGTGATAAACTGAATAGTAATACATTTATCTTAATTAAAATGGGAGAAAAGGTTGAAGTGGCAGCAGGCTATTCCATCCATTATGTTTGCTTGTTTAGTTTTGTTGCTAAGTAAATCTTCAACCAAGAACATGTTGAAGATTGTCCAGAGTCGAAGACTCAACCAATTGCTTGGGAAGTCTAATTCAGATAGCTTTGTTTAAAAAATAATTTCTTATGAAACTATCTCTGTTTGAAGGAAGACAACTGTTCAAGTGAAGATATAAAGTCCAGGAAGCAGAGGTTGAGCATTTACCATCAGGAGACAGAAGGCAGTTCCATCAGTTCCATTGGAGAAGGAACGAGAGAGAGGATCAAGGAATTAAGAGTTGGAATGTTATTGTTTTGGAATAAAAGGTACAGTGTTTCATGATCGGTGCTGGTAAACAGCTTAGCCGTGTCCTCTTATGTTGTGTCAAGGACTCCAGAAGACAGAGGATCAAATCAGTATTAGGTCCTGACAGCAGTTTGCTATGCAAGCAAAAAACACTATTGTTGGAGAATATTAAGCATCTAATTTTATTTTATTTTTTTGTTTCTTGGGAACATCATGGTAAGGTAATAACTGGGTGAAAACTTAAAAATATATATTAAAAAATAAATGTTATCTTTTAATATTTAAATATTAACAAAAAGTTACGATTGAAAAATACCTTGTTAGATGCCTTTAAAAACTGAAAAGTTTAAGAAACACATATTAACCATTACATCTCAGAAATTAAAAGATTTGGTTACAGGTATGCAGATATCAGAGTCTCCAACCACATTTTACAAGCGAAGGTTGCTACTGGAAGAGGCGTTCTTAAAGCTAGCAGAGCGCCCCCTGCTGGCCCCACTAACACCTCTTCCAGCAACAACCTTTGCTTTCCCAGGAGTCTCCCAACCAGGTACTGGCCAGGCTCACACCTGCTGAGCTTCAGTGGGCTGCCAGCAGTGAGCTGCAGGGTGATCTGGCTGCTGGCAAAACTCAGAAACCTGGTGTGCAGATACATAAAAATATAAATGTAACATTAATTATAGCTCAGTGATCTATAGTGGATTGGGTTCTCAAATCACTCAATATTAATAAATCCCCAGGGCCCAATGACATCTTGCTAATTGTTCTCAAGGAGATGAGATGTTATTTAGATGTCATTGACATACTGTAGAGTCAGTAAAGTGCCCATGCAGTGCGAAGTGGAATCAGGAAGTTCTGAATCAGGACATTTGTTTGACATGTATTACATGTAAGATTATGGAAATATTATTGGAATTTTTAGAACCTAATTAGACAAAGTGGATCTGAAAACAGTAGCTCTTGCCTAACAAACAGCAGTAGTGTATTGTACACCCTAAAAGCATGACATTTATGACATTTAGGTTTTTAGAACGCTTTAAATACGTTCCTCAGATCTTGGACTGAAAGTGCTCTAGCAAGTGCAGTTTGAGATCCAAAAGTCTTTTTACATTTCTTCATCCAGAAAGCCATCGTCCTACTAAATTCCCTCTCTAATGGCCTTATATTGCCGTTAACCATTTATTAAACACACATTTTTAACGAAGTCCACGTTTCCAAAAATGAGATGAGGTAATTGCTATCCATTGATTTTATATTAATGTTTGATGAAAAGAGCAGTTTAAAAACAGAGGAGAATGTATAATGTACAGGTATCTCTGTGTCCTGTCTTCCTTTCCCTTTTCCTTTCTGTCTGTTAATGCCATGGATTTCATGTATTGAAGCTTCTAATCATGAATTTAATTAACTAGAATAAACCAGAAAATGCCCTTTGATCACCTCTCAGCCCACCTACAGCTATGTAAACTACTCAGAAGCAACCCATTGTTTTCAGACTCTCTTTAGACCTTGAGTTGTTCATTATGATGTGAAATGCTAACGATAGATTTTATGACCCATTCGGCCGTAACGATATCATTAAAAATACAATACATCAATTTAAAAAAAAAGCAGTTGTGTAATGTTAATTACAGAAATACAAAAATGTCAAATTGTATGTCCTGTTCTAAGATATTAATGACCAAAGTGGTCAAAGTTCTATCTATTTATAGCATGCTGGATTATTCTGTCATCTTTAGCAGAGAATAAAAAAATAATTATTCTATAACTACTGGTATTACCCAAATATCTGAAAGAGTGATAAACTGTAATACGTTTTCAGAATGCCTTAACAATATTATAACTATCATTTCTTTATTACTTGATTTTTTAAGTTTTTAGTATTCTTTCTATGTTTATTATTTATATCCTGTGTTTCAGCTCTGAATGAAGACATTGATGACATGTACATTCAGCAATTTGACTTTAAGAATCTTTTTCTGTATTTCCAGGAAAATGAATTTTGACATTGTGTACCTCTTTATGTGATCAAGTTTTTTTCCTTCTTTTTATACCTCGAAAGCTCTGAGGAAGAGCATGTCTGTGCCTAAACAACATAAGCTGCACCACTGCCACACAGGTATCGCTACCCTCTCCTACACTTTCAAAGTGTTTGATTTCAAGGATTCTAAGGTAGGCTTCTACTATTGCGCTTGACCTCGTTGTAAGAAAAACTAAACAGGGCTATTCTGTTTTAAAATGTAACTTTGATCAATATACAATATTCAGCTGGTGTCATATAATGTGAGATTATAAATGTTTCCCTTTTTCCCACCCAGGGGCCTCTATGGAGATCTGCCAAAGTAATCCTAGAAACATGTTCTGGAATGAGATTTGAACTGAGCTGACATTTCAGCCAGCTGACGCTGGGGATTAGCCCTGTTAATAAAACAGCTCCCCAGATTTCTGTTTCTATAGCAATGGGTAAAGTGCACTGTGGCAGATGTGCCATTTCCTCCTTCTGCCCTGCCTACGTGCTCTCAGAAGACAAACGCTGCACACAGGAGCTTGAGTGTCTGGAGTTCAGCACTGTGAGTTATTCTGTTTATGAAAGTTGCACAATATGGTTCTACTCTTGAGAGCACACTGACAGATTTCACGTATCGCATGAGAATGTAAGTACGAATTTGCTGTTATTGCATTTAATTTTTGTAGCGCATACTGTATCTTTATGCAAGGTGACTAATAAAATCATCACAATTTCTAAGTACTGTAGGTCCACTTTTGTCAAACAGACACTGGCTGCAGCTTTGGTGTTATATGTTGTAAAATCCTGTACCTAGAGATCACATTCTCAGGTGTGATTCTGCTCAATTGTACTAACAGAAAGCAAAGAATGGGATAAATTTGTGCCGTTACTATACTAATGCAATACTAATGTTAATGCATATGTTTGTTCTGTATGCATTAACACTATGCAGTAAAATTAATACATTTTTAAGTTTAATTTTGAAATGAGTAGAATGTTTAGAAATATTGATCATCACTCACACGTGTACACATACAAGCTCACTCACAGGTTCAAGTGAGGGTTATCAAGCTAAAGCAGATAAGAAGATTAAGAAGACATCAAAACAAAGATTATGTCTTTAGTATTTGTAATTTAGTATTCACGATTCATAATTCTCACACAAAAGGATAAGGAAACAGCTCATGGGGTCTGTCACAGCATTGCCCAATCCCTGCTTCGCTGACTCGATGTTCATCAGGTCCTGGTGCTGCTCGAGGTAAAAAGTGGAGAGAGTTCTCCTGTAGCCTCACACTGATAGGTCTCTTCAGTGGGTTGTGCTGAGCTAAACGAGGACAATGTCTGTGCACAAGGGCAACTGCAAGTCAGGGCGAGTCACAGATGGGGATAAATTTGGTTTGATCTTGGTGTGGCACCACTTCTGAATACTGAGATATTTGGGCGAGTCTCCGAAAGGCTAACCGCATTGCTCCGGTGATCATGTGGTCATGCACAGTGGTAGCTAGCTGTTCAGGACGTCTTGGCTGCAGGCTAGACATTGAGCAGAATTCTGTCTTGCGTACAGGTGCAATTTCTAACTGGGATTTTCAGGCAAAAAGTTTAAGTCCCAGAACTTAGACAACAGTTGTGGCAGTGACGTGGTTGTGCTGTCAGCCAGCCATGTAGGTTTAGTGGAGATAAGTGAAGTAAGAAGAATGGGGTAGAAAGAGTATCAACATTCTGGGAGAACTTCCTGTCTCAACAATGTAAATAGGAGAAGGAGACTGGGAGATCGTTTCAGGGAATGTGTTAGAGTGATCAAGACCAAAGTTCTCTCCAAATCCATAGTTTTCCATTTCACCTCTAACTCATACTGATCTCTTCTTCTGCATCTTCACAGAGGTGTTTCGGAACTCCTATTATAGAAAGAAGTCCAAAACCAAAGTTCTCCTGAAACTAGGATCGCACTTTCCTCCTTCCCTTAACAACAGACTCTGCTCCTTCTAATCCTCCACATTCATTTACAGGTTTTGACTTCACACCTCTCTTCCAGTTCTCCCAGAGTGTTGATATGTCATACTCAACACCCTCCAGGGAATATTTAAGTCCTCCCAGTCACAATATGGTCACAATAACCCCTATTTCCATTATTTTTTATAGGAAATATTTTCCTGCTTAACATTGTTTTGCTTAACATACTTTTTTTACAGTCCCCAACAAGGAAATTAAACATGTTATGCAGCATCAACGGTTTTCTCAAACCCTTCAACTGTTTACTACCATCATAACATCTTTGACAGTTATTACTGGAGCTTAGATTGGATAAAAAGAAGACCTGCGAGGGCAGCATGAGCAGCCATTATGACGTGTTGTGGGAAAAAAACTGTCACATTAATCAATCAAATCTGACAGAATCAGGGGCTCCTTTTCATTAACATAACTTGTTCCTCTTTACACATACGTACAGCTAAAAGGCTACTTTTGTACTGCAAAATACAGATCTATCAGAATTATCTCTTATATTAAAGCAAATTGGATGAATAGAAGTTCAATAGAAGTTCTCCACAGAATTGTGTTTTTGCAAAAAGAAAAACAGTTTAATTGTTTCAATATACTGTATATACCGTACACTATAAGTACAGGGTTGTAAGATACACAGAGAAGGCTGCTTCAATACAAGTTATTACTCTTCTGTTGTTGTATGCTCCATAAACACATTTAATATACTTGTGCATAGAAACTTACATTAAATTACATTGTATTCCTTTTCATCTCCAAATGACTTTTTAACATATGATCTTGTTTCCATAAAGGAATAATTTAAATTCATGTCACTGGAGAAAAACAATCTTTCCTAATCCATAATTTTCAAATAAATCATTACCACAAGAAAAATGTTTAGTTTATTCATTGATCTGGGATTAGACTGACTTATATTAACATTTTTCTTCTAAGTACTGACACCAATATTATTCATCCTCTATCATCTGATTAGTATTCAACAGTGGTGTTTATTATGTTACATGCATTGTATCATGCTGCTCATCTCTCCCTCAGACAAACACACTGGGTGTGAACCTGTGGTGGATACTGGGCTCACCCTAATCCCAGCTCATTTCAGCCCCTACAGCACCTGCCTCATATTGGTGGTTTCCAAGATTCTTATCATTTCCAGCAGGTCTCCAATTTGTGTCCAGAACAAAATGCTTCAAATAAACATCTTGAGTTTCTCAGGTTTTCTCTATATTATACTATTTCACTTAGTAATTCAAGAAATGGTACTGTCCGTTAGAGGAATGTTACGGCACACCGCATATGACATGCTTTCAATTTTCTAATAATAAAGTTCATTTTACTCCATGAGAATTTCCAGTAAGGTTTTTGATCTTTTTGAGAATGTTGACTTAAAAGGAGGGTTTGTAGATTTTTCCTCCTTGTGAAAATACTGTACTTTTCAAGGTTGTTGGACTTTTTTTTAGAAAGGCTTACTGTATATATCCTAAATATAATGCTCTCAGAGGGTTTCTCTAATGTGTCCCAGAATCTTTAGGAATACAGTACAGGAATGTAAGAAAACTTTCCTTTGGCCTACAGTATCTAGCCTGTTTTGTGTTTTAGTAGCTCATACAGCTGTGTCTTGTAAGAATCGAATAATCTGCAGCATGGCCAGGGCACTTGTTCCAGACTCCTACAGACCACTGTGTAAAGAACTGTCTCCTATTTATAGTTTTAAGTTCATTTCCCCCTTGTTTCAACTTGCCTTATCTGTTTATGTTTCACAAAATCACACACAGCTGATTTTGAAGATGTACAGGGGTTTCAGTTTTTTCAGTGCCTTTGAGTACTTTGAATACCAGTTCCCTTCTGTTCCTTTCTGCTCAAGACATACATGATTAAGCTCTGTCATTTCCCCAAAGCCCATGCAGGACATTTCCCCAAAGCCCAGTAAAAAGATCTGCATGAATATCAACGCCTTCATAGTTTTGTAGGTAGTGTCTAAAAGCTCAACGTCTCCCAAATATAATTATAATTTATATTTTTGGTATCTGCACTCTTCTACATTAAATACCATCTGCCAGGTGTTTGCCCTATCTAAACCATTGCAAATTTCCTTTTGCAACTTTTACAATGTTGGCTAATTCTCCTATTTTGGTAACATTTGCAAATTCCACCAGTTTACTAATTATATCAGAATCTAGGGCACTGGTATAAATTAGGAAGAGCAGCAGCTCTAGCACGTAGCCTTGTGATGCTGCACTAATGACATCATTCCAATTGGAACATTCACCCCTTGCCTGTACCCTCTCTGCCCTGTCTATTAACCCATTGTCAGTTCAAACACAAGCATTACCTTGAATACCTAACATGCTTAAATGCTATTTAAGAATTAATCTATTAGAATTCATTTTTTAAAAGCTTTCTGAAAGTCATATACTTTGATATCATATCATTTATTCTGTGTCTATTACTGAAGTTTCTTTTTCAAAGAATAATCTTATCAAGTTAAAAACTTGTCTTTGCCAGGTCCATTTTGATATAATAATTAACATTTTGTCTGCTTATATTATTGTGTAAAGAGTGATACTTTTGAAAAAGGTGTAGGAAGGGTTAACCCGTTCAAGCATAACAGAAAAACTGAGGTGTAGTGTTGGATTCTACAGATGGGCTTTCTTACAGATAGTTTCTCCATCATCTTTCCAGCTCATTAGTGGTACAGGGTGCTTATACAGTCCTGTTGTTTAACACTAATTTACCACAGTAAGAAATGTTTATGTGAAAGCATTAGATTGATAGGCTTTCAATATCCAGAAAGGATGGTCTTGTCAATGTTAAATGGGGCTTTTCTGCAAGAGGTATTAGTATGAAGTAAGACTAACAAGTCCTTGTTTTTTAAAGGGTGTGGCAATACATCACATTCTCTCCATTTAGGCAGTGTACAACAAAAGAAATACATTTTATTTTTTTGCATATAATATGCCAATTTGGACAGGATTCAGGGGTTTGTACGTTCATGTTGCTTAGTTTCTTATGATTTGTTGCAACTGACGACCAAGTAATCGAAGTACCATCTTCCTTTATGAACAAATAAATCAGTGGGTCGTGTAAAAAAGCAATAATATGAATAAATCATATTACACAAAGGGTGTTAAGTTATTTAACAGTTTCTAAAAACCTTTTCAAAGTAAATACCACAAACTTATGGAGACTGATTGTATTTATTGTATTAGAATTGAAGTATTAATCATGCACTTTAAAAGTATAATATAATAAGAAAGCTGATAAGTGTAGACCATTTTAATTATGTTTCCCCATTCAATAATTTTCATGCAATAGACTAGGTTTTCAATATATATAAATTCTGCTCAGCTAAGGTAATTTTTTTTTACCCAAATAATTTAGTGAATTAATTATTCTTAAACATAAATTTAATCAAACCAGAAATAACATTATTTGGTTTTCACCCCTAGATTTACACCTGACCCTAACTTTAAACCAAAGAAACATCTGCATCCCTCTGGGCCGTGACCACTAGGCCCGAGCTGGAGCCTTGTACTGTACCTTCATGCTGTGCTGACTTCACTGTGTGCTGAAGCTGCTCACTGTAAAACACAACCTGGAACCGTGAATGATGGGTTAACTCGTAATCAGAACTTCAGCCCTGCCTCTCAAACTGTCTCTAATTCCAGTTTAACTATGTTGCTGTCCTTAAGCAAAACAATTCTGTAGTGCAGTCATCGCACATATTAATCAAATGAGGCAGGTTGTTAGGTATGCTACCATTTTTTTAACGTTATTCATTTATCCGAATCCTTTATTCAAGGCTCCAGCTAAATAGACAGTAATTGAACCTGAACTGTTTTTTTCTGCATGTTAATGTGCAAATGAGGTGAAGGATTAAAATACAATACACCCAAATAGCAAGTACACTATAATTAACACAATTATGGGTATAATTATATATTGACTGCAGTTAATTAAGATACACAAAGAACTGTGGCTGACCCCAGATATGTTTCACAACACACATTATGAAATCCTGTTCAGCCTACCTTTAACAGACGACTGTATACTGTATGTCAACCTGTCATCCCTGGATATGACACCAAGATACAGTTTCAGCTCTCTTTCTGAATGTTAAATCTGAACAATATTTTTTCAGTTTTCTGTGCTCCTTTGCTTGATTCGGCTGTGATTTGTTACACTTTACTGATCTTTTACCACAGCCAGTCATTTTATTTGGTTGTGAATCTGGATTTACTGTGGTAGCCCATCTGAACGCAAGTAAAATCTATGTTGAAATATACTCACAGCTGTAGTTTTGCATACTGTATATTTAGTCCTCAAATTTCAAAATAAAAGAGCAAAACAAATGCTTACTGCCGAAACACAGTGCTGGAACACGTTCTTCGTTTCCTTCTTCCTCTGTTCTTTCTGGAAACATACTGCGTAGATTGGGGTGCTGCCTCTGGGGCTGATTGATCACTTTGCTCGTTGGCAGATCCTGTGGCGCTGGGGGAGGCAGCAGCGGAAGATGAAGCCGGTGATAGTCGTTCACGGCGGGGCCTGGGCCATTCCTGACGCGATGTCAGGAGCGAGCGTGAGAGGGGTGAAGGCCGCAGCCTGGGAGGGCTTCTCCGTCCTGAAGCAGGGGGGAAGCTGCCTGGATGCAGTGGAACAGGCTGTGAGAGTCATGGAAGATGATCCAGTCTTTGATGCAGGTGGGTTTTCATGGCTATGTCGCTAGATCCAGTCTCCTTACAAGGTGAGCAACACAATTGGAATTCGGTCTGTATGGGCCCATAGGCCAGAGGGAAGATAAGCAGGAAGATAAGGAAGTAACGAGTTGGGGTACTCAGCCACCCCATTTCACCTTGCTCAGGGGATAAATGCGAGGGTACAATTTCAATAACCCAGTAGGTCTCAGTCCTGGATCTGGTGTACCCACCTGTCTGCTGGGTTTTCTTCCAGATGGCCCTTAATCAATTAATTGGTGATAATTGGTGCCCGTAACTGAACTGGTTGCTCTTTAACACTTTTGTCATTCTTCATTTTAAAAATAATCTAGTTAAAGAGCTAACAGTATGCATAACATTATGCAGTCTCTCATCACTTTGCTATTTCAGAATTGACTCATTAAGAATAAACAGTTTTGTTTATGTTTTGGGAGTGACACTGCATAACTTCTGCAATGAGTCAGTGTTTTTTTCTTATTCTGGTTAAATCCATTTCAGCTCCAGCTACCTCACCTGAATGAGGGGAGTCCTGAAACTCACTAATTAGCACAGGGTTCATACCTATTGCGAATCTCATTCGCATTTAAAAAGAGATGAATGGAAATTTTAAAAAATGACTAAAATAGAAAATTGAAATAAATTAGCTTGTTATTAAGCCCCCCTTGGAGTAAAAGGTATTCCAGGACCAGGACTGAAAACCACTGTAATGGCCAATCAAAGATATCCTACAGAGGAAGGAAACTGGCCAGAACCCAGATAGGGCCAGTAAGAACATGCAAACACTGCACAGACTGGACCCTGCAGTTGTGTGGTGTTACAGTATAACACCATTCCATAAAATATTTTAACAGCAAATTAACAGAAAGAAACATACTCTGTTCTGAAAAGAAAATAACTATGAAAATGTTAAAAATTAGCCCCACATTAAAATAAGTGGAAAGAATTTTCAATAACGCATACAAATTCACTCACTGGCCTTGTCAAGCCAATAGAGGTATCAGAAATCTGTTTACTTCTCGTGTTGGTCACAATACCCCAGAAACTGTACCAGAAGTGGGGTACAAAGTGGGACCAACTTCCCTGGGTGGCATACCAGTGATCTAGAGAAACCAGTTAATCTAGCCAGCGTGTCTTTGGAATGCAGGAGGAAACTGGAATACGCAGATGAAACCCACATGAACAGAAGGAGAACACATGAACTCCACACAGAAGATGCTGCAGACATACTGTGACCAGACATGGAGAGCTGTGAGGCAGCAGTGCAGTCCTACTTAGCCCACCCCAACAGCAACTTGCAAATCGAACATCATGTGACGACAGCTCTAGAGCTGAAATGTAGTGTTTCTATTTTTTTTTATTTTTCAGCCTGTATTTAACCTTTACTTTTTCTTTTACAAATTGAATGCACAGCTCCTCAGTCTCGTGTCTAACTTGAGTATTGTTTTTTAATGACAAGCTTCCTCCTCAGAAATATAATTTGCTTAAATAAAAGACCAGGAAGGAGTGTGGAAATAACAGCGCGACTTCTGAGACAGAGGTGTTGTCTGAACCCATGCGAGACTAAGTTTTATTTCACACTTCTCATGTGTTAGTTTAATGATTATTCTGAAAACGGTGAGACATTTCAGATAATGGTCAGATTACACCAGAAAACAACTCACTTCATTAACACACTAAGCTTGTCAGAAACTATCTCATTTGTGATGGCTAACTGCCACATTAGGTGAAATGCCAGATCCTTTCTAAAGCATAAAAGCGCAATCAGCACTTCATTGAGATAATTTTATACACTGTGTGAGCAGGAGTACAACTGATCAATACACGACTAATGCAGTCTTACATGGAGAGGGAGAGGCTACAGAAGCTTTGAATGACCTCAGTGCTCTGTTGGGAAAAATGTATATTTATGACTGTCCACATGTGCTGAAAAGAGATGTTGTTACAATACATCAAGGGCAAAAATAAATGAAAAAATGTCAGTTTAAGCACATCTACTGGACATTTACTGTCTAAACATGAAAATGCATTTTAGCCAAAATGAAAACTTGTTAAAATGCATTTTTAACAATGATGAAATGTGGGTAGCAAGCAAAGTTCTCCCACAATAGATCAATGAATTAAAGCTGTTATGAATTTCATTGAAATACAAAGTGAATATTTTATTGATTGCTAATCATTCTTAAAATAACTAAAACAGGTTGTGACATTGTACAATGACACTAATGAAAACCACTTTCTTAACGGCTTCAATGTGAAACCTCTGAGCATTTATATTTTAGTCCATTTCTTTGTACTTTTTTCTAATAGTGAGTCACTTCACATGGATACAGCTTTTCCTTAGGAAATAGAATCCCACTAGTCCAGTGATTTGAATCAGAGATGTACTCCTGGAAATTGAAAGTTGACTTCTATTTTCATCACACGCAAAAACTAACAACATACACTGAACAGGGGGTTAAGCTCAATAATTCTATTTAAAAACTAGTTTATATTTTTGACAAATAATTCAATCCCTATTCAACTGCTTTCCCTACTTGTCACTGTGATAAATAACAGCTAGAAAGACATGCTCAGTATTTTAAACTTGCAATTTCAAAGACGAATATGACTTTTCTCCAGTATTTGGTATGATCCCAGTGGTGATCCTGACAGTACTGCACAGTAAACTCAACCCTAATTACTGCACACAGGCTTTGTTCACTACAGGGAAACACTATTTTCAGCTGATGTAATATTTGGCCCTGGCAGTGTTTAATGAGATTCTGCAATGTATGGCTTAGCTGACAAATCTTGCAAAAACTCTTGTGAAAAACAGACGGAGATAATGACTTAATTTCACTTTGGCAAGGTACTGTATAAGTACTCACTTATTTTAAAGAGAAAAACAAAATAATGTTTCGCAGGTTTTACGAATGAATGCTCACTGCAGTCATTCTGGCATCTCCCATAGCTTATTTCTTGATGAACGTCTGTCTCACAAAATGCTACTCTAGGTTCAACCTAGTTCATCTTATAAAACTAAGCCAAGGTAAATGCGAATAACAGTGTCAGTGGAATCACATTTATGGCACAGTGTGACCTATAATATGTTAAAGAACTATATCAGAAAAGGGAAGCTATGGCAAACATTATGCGATTATCATGATAACAGAGTGGAAAACTGTGGAAATGCAGTTTAAATCTACTCCTGTGGACATATACACAAAGGAGCATCCTCCATGAATTGTAATCAGCCTATTATGAAGCCCTTCCGATAATCACAGGGTGCGAACAGCTAATAGAGCAGTGTCCAGTGTGAGCAGCAGTGAAAAGAGATAAGAGACAGTGCCATGTAGGACCGCACTGTTAATGCTGAGGTAGCACACAAAACAGACCACTGATCCCTGCATCACCTGATCTGGGTTGATTGTGTTTTGCTAGTGGCTTTAAAAATTAATCTCGGATTAAAGGCTTTTTGTTAGAGAAACACTACTGCTGTTTACCACAAGAAAAAAAAAACAAGCTTATCCTTCAAAAAAAGGTGTTTCTGTGGTTTTCCAGGATGTTACTGGCTTAACTAAACCTTTGCCTCCCACAGAAAACTTTCTGGAAGAAGGCAAAAGAACTTTACTGCGCAGAAAAAAAATGAATGTGTTACTTAGTCCATTTATAAGCTTATCTGAAACATCTCTGGGAAAGGAAATGGAGTCAGGTATCCAAGGTACTTTATTTAGTACAATATCCCATTGAATGGCTTTAAAATGGTGTTAATGAAAGAAATGGTCATACGTAATATGAAGCCTAAAAAACGGGGAGAAACCTTCAGATGTAGTGCAGATATATCAGGATGTAACTCTTTGATTTCCCTTGAGTTAACTGAATCCACTAATCCTGCTATAAAGCAGTGATAATGCCTTTCAGGAGTGACTTAATAGAAATAGAGCTGAAGGATAATGTGCTTGAGTCTGGTTTCTTTTTCTCTCATAAATGTAGTCAGAAAATCTTTACTCTGAAAAGGTATCGCACATACATAATTACTTCTAATTTTTTTTTGGAATGAATAATGCAAACTGGTTCATTTCTTGTGTGCTTAAATTACTTTAAAAACTAATTATTCAGGAAAGTATTACTTTTTCGTGGGTAACTATCTGCAAAACTAATAAATGAGAAGAATATTTAAGATTTTTCTGTTTTTTCTTCCTCATCTGTTAGCCTCTGGACATTTGTCCACTTAAATAACTGTGGAAAAAAAGTGGAAAAAATCCACTTGGCCATCAGCTGTCAAAACAGGGTTGTAAATAGCTCTGCAATAGTTTTCTCTGCTTTGCTTCAAAAGCGCAAGGCTAAGAGGGTCTGACCTTTTACAAATGGAATGGCTTCTTGCAGGACATGGAGCGGTGCTGAATGCTGATTGTGAAGTGGAGCTGGATGCCATCATCATGGATGGAGAGACTCTGGCTGCTGGAGCAGTCTCCTCCATCAGGAACATTTCCAATCCAGTGACATTAGCTCGTTCAGTCATGGAAAAGGTGCTGCTGCTCTTTTTTTTTTACATTCTAAACAAAATTAAAGCTTAAAACAGAAAAAAATGAAAGAGAGAAGGGTCTGGGTCAGAGTAAATCAGCTGGGTTCAGAGTTACTACATCTGTTTAATTCCTTTCTGATGTCAACAATGGGCCAGTAGCAACTTGCTTTGTCACAAGGTTAAGCCAGTTTCTCTTTTGCAAGGTAATGTGTTTCAGCCATTACTCATCTACTGTATAGCTAAAAAGGTTGTTAGTACTGAAAGTTCAGAACTGCACATTTTCACTAATTCAATACATGCACTCAATCCATAAAACCAAGTAGGCTTTTACTGTATCTAAGGAGAAAGGTTAGTTTAACTAAGAAGAGGTTCCTGCAGACCAGAATTTTGCTGCTTGGTCAGTTCTTCAGTTTTCAGACATGATTAAATTCCAAATATAAATGGAATGTATATTCTGTTTTGTGTGTGCATGGTTTTATTTTTGTGCTAATTAAAAATTTAAATTAGCACAAAAATAAAGCCGTACACACAAAATTGAGCCAGACATGGGGATTTGCACAAAAAAAATGTCATTAACAGCTTGCTGTGCAGTTTTGTTGGCAACCCAACGCTAATAGTTTCTCCCAGTAAGTCTCAGGGCTCAAACGAATTCTGTGAGTGGTTGAGCTGCAGGGTGGCTGTGCAGAAGCTCTTATCTTCATGGGGCTCATTCTCCCAGCCCTGCCACAGCCACGTGTGCGATTCCAGCCCGGTGGAGGCATGACCGACGAATGTCGGCCTCCACATCACAGGTTGGGTCTGAGCCAGTGCTGTGGCTCTTTCCCCCTTTTCTGCACACCCCCAGAGTAATCTCCGCAGCTGTCTGTCCGTCAATAAACCACTTGCTCAGTTCTCTTTGTGCAGCATCCATGCACTGTTAAAAATAATTTGTGACCTATGGGTGATTACTTTATATTCACCTTGTATGGATTTCAAATCACTTTTTTGGCATAAGGTTAAAGCTGTACTGTGTTAGTATTATATTCATTTAAGGCTCTTTTGATATTTTGTTATTATACGGTCTACTCAGGGATCACAAGTTGTGTGCATCACTGTGTCCTGGCTCTCAGCGACAGCCCGCGTACCACATGGGGAGGATGAGGAAGTGCATACAGGCTCACTCATCGAGCCATTCGTCTTGTGAGCTAATTATGTGCCCATGCTGGGGCAATCCCAGCCACAGGCAGCAAGTGACAAGACCCAGGCTGGGAACTTGAGAACCGCGCGTGCAGACCCGACCTGTGAGCACTTGCTCGGCTTGAACCACTCTGAAGCGCTCTATTACTGTGGTGGCCTGATAAGAGCATTACTTCATTCACAGGGGAAAAAATGTCTGCCCCCTGTTTTGGCTTTTTGATTTAAAAGAAAATGTTGGGAAAGAGCTTTTAAGGGTACTATTCACTTTTGATGTGGGAAAAAATGTAGCGCTGATAAACACATTTTAAAATTGAGTCTATGTAATTGACCAGAATATCAGAGAAAGTGTAATTTAAACATACTAAAACCCACAACAGCTAAATGACAGTTTTTTTTCTTTATAAGGTTTGTATGAGACAGTTTGGTAAAAATTATTTTACTGACACAACAAACATGGTTCCCCCAGTACTAGAATTGAATAACTAACTGTTATTTTAGATTTGATTTTTAAAAACACGAATTGAGGCAAAATCTATAGCACTGTAACTGATTTTAGCACTGAAACATTGAAAATGGAAGCTTTTCATAAACACTTTCCTCCCTCAGGCATGAGGAGAAATGTTGAGGTCTTGGAGTTAATAGCAGTGATATCAGTATCTACAGTACCTAAAAAACAGAGTAACTGTTAAGAGAAGTGAAGAAAATAAGACATTTATTACACTGATAATATATAAACTGTGGCAAGTGTAAGACATGCCTTAAAGACCAGGCATCCTTAGAGGAACACTGCCTTGCAGTGCTTTAAGATTAACTAGGAAAAATCTGAAAACAGTTATAATGTCGATCACTCCTGATCTTCAAGGACTTCTGTCCCAATGACAATTTAGGTCATTTTTAGGTCATATAACATGCTTAAAATATGTGAAGAACGGTAAACCCTAAACCAAACCATATTTAAGCGACTGATGATTTTAAGAGACCTCAACAGCTTTGAGGGTTGGTTACATGTGATTTAGATCAATTAAGACCACAACTTGCTCAATTAAATCATTAAGAACTAAGCTGGGATAAAAACAAAGGAGCCTGCATTTCTCCAGAACCAGCTGTGAGTATTTGTATACACAGTTAGACTGTCTTGTTCTCTTGCTACTTAATACCTTGTTGAAGATGTTATCTGTGATGAGTTTGGAAACATTTCTGAATTGAAAACATACTATACAGGATAACAAAGACAAGCTCTGAAAGTCAGGCATACTTATCACAGTTCAAAATATATGGATGAATATATTTTATATATATATATATTAGATATAGCAGATCTAATACCCAGGGCCTTTACCTTAAATAAAATATCTATTTTTCATGTGCGCGTGTGCACATAATCATTTTAAAGTTGTTTATGTGTATGTGGTCTTACACAATTATTAAATTCTAATTTGTTTTGACAATAGTTCTCAAAGATAAACGAGTGGGAATGAGCACAGGAAATTATTTTAGTGTAGTTTAAATACTATGCAAGCTTTCTATTTCACTGGTTCACCAAGGGGCTTCAAAGCCGTGAAGTTTATACTGGAATGGTTTATACTGGAATGTGACTACTTCTAGTCACACAGAAAAAGACAACAATAGATGAATATTTATGTAAAATTAAGAGATGATTCCACAAGAGAATGCTGATTATATATAGATCAATGTTTTAATTCACTTGTTATTGTGATAATCTCATAAAACTAAATTTAAATTGAACTATACGAAATCCCTCCTTGTTCCAGGTGGCCATGGGTTATGGGTGGATGAACCAAACTCATGATTTATACTTCAATAAATTTGAGAAAATGCAGAATGAACAGAGCTGAACCACAGGAACTGATGATTCAAGGAATCTGCCAAAACTGCCCTGAAAGACCTTGGTCCAACTTTGGACTGGCAGATACGTTTATCAGCCTTATATTAAAAATTCATCAGTCCTTGATCAATGCAGCTATCAGACTTCACTGACCCCTTGTTCTTTCCTGTGATCTACAGAGTTTAGTCTGACAAAGAAAAATTACATTAATAAGCTTTTTAATATTTAAAAATTTAAAAGCCGAGTAATATGTTAATGCTCAACAAGATTTTGAGCAAAGAACCGTTTAAGCCATTACTTTCGATAGCACAATGGACGGATCCTGTTGTGTGGGCTACATGATCGGCAGGAAAATGTGTAATTGTCTGGAAGTTCATTTCCTTATCGTGTTGTGCATATCCCACAGTTGTGAGAAGATGTGTGTGCATCAATGAGTTCTGCACATCTCACTCCAGACATTCAGCATTAAATATTTTGTCTATTTAATTTTTTGACAGACTCAGGATGAGTTTAATAATACACTTTAGCATTACTAATCAAATTAAAACAAGCTGTTCTATTTCAGTGAAATTTGAACAATATCACCCATTAAGTTCGACTTAATGAAACGCATCCAAAAAACCTAATTTACTACAGGAGTCCAGAAAAACATAAAATAAAGAAAATAAAAGGGTACTTTCTTAAGTGGTTCCTAAATAAATACAACTCTAGAATAACAGAGCAGCTGCTTCGTTATAAAGTGATATAATACTGTCAGTTATATTCTTCCGAATCTTAGCAGAAAAGACAATGTAAGACAAACACAGTTTATATTATTTTAGATTTTTTTTCTGTTTATATAGTTCCAAATAGAATTAACTTGTTAATGAGCTGTAAACTGGTATTAAAAAACATTGAGTAGAAACTCACAAGAGTAAAAAATACATGAATATGAATTAACCTATAATGAGGTTGTAAAAGATGCAAGGAACTATGTTTGCACTTTGTCTTTTTTTAATTATAAAGATGTCAAAAAATGTGAAGATTTTGACCCCTGCTTCTACAGTGTTTCACACAAAGACACATTTCTCTGTCAGGCTGTTTTACACAGAACACAATTTAGTCATGTAAATCCTTTCTCTCATTGAATAGCAGCAGGTATTCTGTTAGCCTGAAATGACAGATTAGTGCTTGTCAGCTAGGCTGATAGATCCGTTAAAACCAGGATGGAATGAACTTGGCTGTGATTATGCATTTCCTAATGCACATTTGACTGATGATGGAGGTATTTTTCAGCTTAGTAAATTAAACGTATTAAAAGTTTTGTTGTCCATAGAATTCCATTTCAGTTTGCACACCTACGCAAATATTTCCAATATCTTGTGGTTGATTCTTTATAAATATGAAACAGCTATGTGATCCTAGATCATGTAAATATTTTATTTTCACTAAAACCACATTGATAGAAATTTCCTGATGGCAAGTCAGATTTATTACCAAAATGACAGAAAAGGAGACTAAAATATACTCTGCTATTCTAGGGCTCCTATTCCCATCTCCTGTGGCAAAATCTCATTTGGAAAAGTGATCCTTAATCTTCAATTACAGTTCCATCAGCTTCTGAACAGTAAACACGTCTGTGTGGCTGAGAGGAGACAGGCAGAAAACAGACTGGATCGCAGAGAGAAAACCTGACTTTAATAACACGGCCTTCCCAAGCTGGAAGCTGTAGGCTGAGTTATAAAAAAAAGTGAATTTCCCTGAATACTTCTATGGCGACACTCAAAGACATAAAGGTGATACATTTCTTTGAAAATGTACCTGCAATCATGCACATAAGCCATAGGACTTATTAAGGATAAAAAGGCTCACATGGTCAAATTAGGTTATTTTTTCCTATTTTCATGTAGCAATAACCTGTCGCCGGTGACAACAGACTCATGATACAGGAGTAAATGTATAAAGTTTCTTCCCACACTAGAATTTAGAAAGTTCCGGGTTCTTCTGATAGAAGTCTGCAGGTATGGAAAAGTAAGGAGACAATCTTCTTTCTTCGTCATTTTGTTCAGCACTGGTTGGTTAAACCAAAACCAAAGTTTGTACCTCTAAAAATTACCAAAAAAAATGATTCCCTACAGTCCCAAATGACCAAATCCCACATTTAAAATCTTAAGAAACATTACATAGTAGTTGAAACTTATCAGACAGTCTTAAGGAGAGTGGTATTTAAGTTAACTAACTCTTCTTTGGAACTATAATGATTAATCATCCTCTGATGATTTATGAAGTAAATAAAATTATATGTCATTTTATTTTCTGCATACATAGAAATTGCTCATAGGAGAAAGTAAATACCATGTGTTTTTCCAGTATGTGAGAATGTGTGGGTGTGTTTGGGAGGGAAAAGAGTGATACTCTATTTCTAGATTTCTTTCAGATGCAGAAAATTCAAATTATACTGTACTATATGTCTTGGTCATAAAAAATAAAATGTGCTTGAGCTGTTCACATACAGTACACATCCTTTCTGCTCTCTTTTTGTCATTCCACCAGTCTTTGAAAATTGAAATCGTAAACTTAAGTGTCTGTGATTACTGACAGTTCTGTCCTACAGTTTATTTTATATGGTGCAGTGAACTTCATACTCTATGTAACTTTGTGCTTTTGGCTTTAATTTTTTGCCCTTAAAATGATGGAGTGCACAAAGGTAATGTCCCACCCGTACCATACATAGTCCGGGTGTGGAACATGAGCAAAAGAAATCCTCATGGTGGCAAGAAAGGAGAGGAGGGTTGATAAATATTATGTTGAAAAACCTGGTGGGGAATTGCACTTTGGTAAATTGAAGACCTCTCTTTTTATTAGTTCTGCTGTGATCTATCTAGGGAAGGTGTCTGAGTGAGGAAATTCACACTGCAGTTATAGATTTAACCACAGATGTGACTCAGAGGTTATGGATTGTGTTACCATACATAATAAGCAGGTTGAGGTGATCTGTCACTCCTGTGCGAGGCTCATTGGTTAGCTTAAAGGAGCCTTGATACTACATATCAAAGACTTAATCCCTCTGTTTTAAGAATGACATTCAAAGCACTTAGCATAATGGATGTTAGCACGCCTTTATTAGAGGTTTCTGAAGCCTTCCTTTTGCATAAGCATTTACTGAAATCCCTGTACATCACAGAATTGGAACAGAGAAAAAAACAGAGGCCCTCCTACAACTCAGCTCCTGCTCACTCTAAACTCTCATCATTCTGTTCCCCCTTTTAGTACCATGCAATGCTTCTTTAAGAAAGATTTTAATGTATATTCATTGAAATTAAAAGATTTCCTATACTGACAATGACAGGTATGTAAAATTTAATGTCTGACATTAAAAGAGTCAGACATTGTAAAACAAATCAGACTCCATTTGCTTCAGTTGAAATAAGATCAAATACAGAGATTGCATATTATTTACTTTTAATCTACATGTTACTGAAAGGCTGTTCATAAGAGGATTCAGCAGCAATATAATTCCATATAATGTTCATCTCTTGATTAAGCAATTTGACACTCCATTATGTTCATGCAAATTGCTAATGCAGTGATTCACAGTCATTTTTACTGATGTTCTATGTGCACTGTTACAGTACTTGCCTTAACCATGGCTATAACTCTAATGTGTGCAGACAGACCACGTGATGCTGACAGACAGAGGGGCGGACAGATTTGCCAACAGCCTCGGCATGCCCAGAGTGAGCACAGAAGCATTAGTAACCGAAGATGAGAGGAGGAAGTGGGAACACTACCAGAAGTATGCAAAAGGAGTGAAAGATCTGTTCAATTCACAATGGTAAGCCCTGCATATGGCCCCTCATGAGTGCCTTCTCGATGGTTTGTACAAGTTCTCCATTCTGATTCTTCTGCTTTAGAACAAGCTGGCAAAAATTGTGCACTGACTACAAATTGTGCATACCTAAACCACAGAGAAGACTTCCTTCATCTTGCTGTTCGAGAAAGTTAACATTCAACCTATTTTGAGGAAAAGGTTGTAAAAGGAAGAAAAAGGTTTCTTTTTGTTAAGTAAAAAACTAATTCTAGTCATTAGGTGACCTCCTGGACATTCCAAGAAATATGATGAGCTTATTCTATAGGTAAAGCATATGAATAAAGTGTACCCATCAAGTGGATTGATACATTTCAAAATCCTCACGCAATCAATAATATAATGATGTCATTATTGTAACCTAAATATTTATTATTACTTGATACTGTGTATAATGATGATGATTATATTTATTCTACTGCAAGAGCTGGATATGTTGCATAAAACTGCAAACGCTGACATTGTTAATCAGTGTAGCCTATTTGTAGCTATATAGAAGAGTGAAAAAAAATCCACACAAATTCACTGTTTCTGAAGTGTTCTAGTTGATTTCTAGTTTTAGAACACTGCTGTCATAGAGAGCACATGAAAGAAATCCCTCAAGAAAGGTCATCAGACTGAGCCAAGCTTAAAAGGCAAAAAAAAAAAGCAAAAGTGTTTGTCTTACGCATAATACTGTGAATATTATACCATGAAGAAAAGGCTACTGTTTTATCATATACTCCTGCATTTTAACAGTTTTACTTCTGGCAAGAAGTCTCAGTGGAGATACTGCAAGGTAAAATAGGGCCTCAAAGTTGCTTAACAAACACATAAAGTACAGTCCAGTTAGTGCATGATGCAGAATTCAGAATGTTCATAAATTTGACATAGTAGTTAGGCTGTCTTTACTGGTTCATTTGGAAATATCCTGAAGAGTCATTAACCACGCTGTAATTAAAAGGTCTTTATGATGTGTCACAGAGAGAAACTGGATCATTAAGCTAGTTGAACTGAAATGAAAGCCCTAGGCAACACTATCACTGGACATTCTGTGCAACAGTAAAAAGACAAATTCTGAACAAGTGTCTCTGAATAAGTCTATTGGCTTATTCTACATTCCTCAACTCACACTAGGGTTTATACCAAGATTTATATTTCCACCCGCTCTACCAAAGAATACACATTCTTTTAAATCATATGAACAAATTAATTAATTAGGTCATGTAGGGAGCTGTGTTAGCATGCGTAGGCTGCAAAGGAACAAGTGAAGGTTTATTCCTGCTGAAAAGAGAAGAAAGGAAACACAACATATCGGCTGTGACGCCCGAAGAAGCTCCACAGCTGAAACGTTGTGTTTCCTTTCTTTTCTTTTCAGCAGGAATAAACCTTCACTTGTTAATTAATTAGGGCTACATTACGTGTTTGAGTTGCCTTGATTCACAAAGCCTGTGATGCCACAAATTAATTAGCTAATTTTTATAAGTAAATTATGAAAAGAAAAAAAAAACCTTTGTTGGATGGATTACTTACATTTATATAAATTTGTACGTTTAAATACACAGAAAGCTGCATTTTTGCAAGTTTCACAAAAATGACCTTTTGGAGCATTTAAATATTTATGAGATTTATCATTTGTTTTGTCCACGTCAAATACCCCTAAAACACCATTATACTGTACTATTAAAATGGTCCAGAACAAAACCAGTGTGGAAGAAAAAAAAAGAAAGAAAATATACTCTGCAAAACAGGGGCAAGGTCATTGTTCATTCAAAGATTGCAACATGTCTGCTTCACAGAAATGGAGTGAGCAGGGGGGTAATTTGATCATAGGTGAATATCAAATATCCAATAAGGAAATGTTAATAAAGCAATGCTTAAGGGAGAAAATTCAAGGTTATAGTTATAGAAGTTAAACTGTGAACTGGTTAATTATGTGCTTGCTGAAAAATGCTATAAGCCCCTTTTTATTGAAGAACTACTATGCCTCAGACTGAAGCATATTTAAGATCTGAATTTTATTATGTACTTCTCCTATTGCATGTCCTTTGCAAGTAAATATAAGTAACGCTGCAGATTAAAAACAAAGTGATTTTGGTTTCAATGGAAATTATTAAAAATAATTTAGTGGGGGGATGTCTTGGGATGGGAATGTCTGGAAAGACTCCATGAGTGCAGAACACAGAAACATTTTCTGAGCTGACAGTAAAATATGTGAACTGGCAGCCTATGTTCTGATGACTCACAGATTCCTATCTAACGATGTAAATATACGTTAACGATATACAGTAGGAGTCCTTTCTCCCACATCCCTCTTCTATGTGTCTTTAGAAATGTTGTGGTGTTACTTCAGGTATAGATTGAAAATGAGGCTGTGAAGCAACTGTAAATATGCAAATATGAGATTAGAGTGCTTTATTCTTTAAGAATCCTCTAAATCTTTAAGATTAATGTTAAGGGACTTTTTTTCTGCCCTCAGAGGCAGACCCGGAGTATGTGGTCTTGTAATTACAGAATAATAATAATGGATATCTAGAAAATATGTACAGCTGTTTTGCTTAACATTTTAGCCTGAATATCTTTGCTTGAATCTCTATTTTGAACACTTATAGTTCACTATCACTTTATAGAAACTATAAACTATATAGTTTGTTATACTTTAATTATAGGGAAAGTGCTTCAATCCAAAGCATACAATGTCTAACTAAATCAAAGTTTTGACTGTTTTGACAACAGGTTTACGGGAAAAATCAGTTCAATTTTAATATTATTACTAACCTTAGTGTAAGAAAAATACTATGTAGCAGAGCAATTTAAAACACTGTGGCATTCTAAGAATAATCGTTTACAAGACTCTTTGTGAAGGTGTTTTGAAAAGCAATAGCTATTCATAATTAAAGTAATGATTTTTTCGGGTGTCCTTTATCACTGCTCCACACTCTCCCTTATTTTGCAATACATGCATTCTGAGACTCTGACTCTTGCTGGAACTTGTGATCACCATGTGCAACCTCTCCAACCTCAAAAACCATCTTTCAAGTTCCACAGAGGTGAAAATCAGACTGCAGGGAAGATGCAGCAGAAACTCAAAGTGTTGATGAACTCCTGGTATCACTGCTTGCCAACTTTCACAGAAAGTGGAATCACTGTCTCCAGTGCAGTGTGCTAATGAACCTCCTGAAACACATATGTTGAGGTGCCCCCATCACTGTTTCAGGAAGCTCAGGGGAATCTTTTTCCAATAAATGGAAGTTCTTAACTGACGTTCGTGAGGGATAATGATAGACAAGCCAATCTCACACAGCTGTTTTAAATCACAATCATTTCTGACTTTCCTTATATCTACAGTATATCAATTCAATTCTAGCTTTGTCCCATTGAGCAGACTCCCAACATCATAACAGAATGAGAGACATCTTTTACCAACCCAGAAATCAGTGCGACATTGTTACAGTAAGATAAGGGAGAAGATCCAATACACTGTTTGAAAGAGCTTTTGCAGTGGGCCCGAAAGATTTCCTGTGCCTATTAGTGTCAGACCTGGGGACACAGAGGCCTCTCCCAGACAGAAGTGTGAACTTGCAGTGGAGGGGGTGAGACCCACAATCCAAAATATACTTTGCTTTCTTTGCCACCCTATATTTGTAGAGTATATTTAAGGTGATTTGATTTGGTCCAATTAATTTGCTACTTGCGAAGACTCGTTTATCCAGCCCATTACAATCAATGGTAGTAATGTTTCCAAAACAGTAAGTGAGACAGCATATTAAGACTTTTTTAATAAAAGACTTAAGAGTTAAGATGGTTCTATTTTATCTTGAAACAGCTTAATTCCCTTAGAAAAAAAGAGTTTTATATAAATGGTATTGCTGTATTTGTCCCAACTCAGGTTTTTCCTATGACCAGTCCCAGGTCTTGTAGTCATTGACAATTCTACAGTTTGACCATTAATTACAGTAGGTTGGAGGGGTGTGGCGTTTTTCCTAGAATCAATGACCAGTTCCTTTGTTTTTAAAACATTTGAAGAGAACCATTTATTAAAGTCATTTAGAATGAGATGGTTTTCTGGGTCCCTATCTAAGCTGTCCAGGGCTGTGTCATCAGCACATTTAATGAGATGTCTATTTGTGTGTTTGCTTTTACAATTTTAAACATACAAAATGTACATTAAGGGGGACAAAACACAGCCCTGTGGTGATCCAGTGGAAATACAGTGACTGTCAGATAAGATATTCCCTTATCTGAGCTGTTGAGTCCTATTTGTTAAAAATTAAAAAACAAACTGTTAAAAACATTTTTAAAAAGTTAAAAACTCTTGCCTCTTCTCACATTTTTTTTACATTCATCCTGCCTCTACCCATCTCCGCCTTTGTAGCAACTCCTGTCGTTGCAGGTTTGAGGCTCCTTGTCCTACGGCCAGGAGATTATATATTAACCAAGTGGGTTAAAAGCCAGAACTTATCATACTTAAATATTCAATAAACATTAACAAAACATCTGACTCTTGGATGTCATGAGATCTAAAAGGAGTTGTCCAGCCTAAGTAAGGGGGTCTGCAGGAGAGTGGAAACAAAAACAAGAGGAAGAGCAGCCCTGGACTTTACCCACCCACAGGACATGGTAGAAACAAGTGAAAAACTCATCATCATCACAAGCAGCAGCAGCATCAACAGTAGCACTATTATATTAAGTTACCTTTAGATTTACAAAATAATGTTAGTAAACAATATGCTAATAACATTATCCAATAGGATTTTTATATGAAATTATCTGATTCTATTTGATTTGATGAACTATCATGATTTTGATAATGTAGTAGTGGTCTGGCAACCACTTCAAATCTCAACAAAACGTGTGAGTTTAGGAGCAGTCTTTTATTCCAGTGATACAAACTGTGAAAATTGATAAAATGGTGCAATAAAGTGTGAGACATACTGGGCGTTTGAGAGATATGACTTGATTCAAGTGGTGTCAGTCTTTTGATAAAT